AATGTATTATAATAGTTTATAATACAACTGTTGAGTTATAATATATTATAATACATTATAAAGCTTTTAAATACATTATAATTTAAATTTTAAAGTTTATAGTTTTCTAGTGCTTTATAATTTAAATATAATACAATTATAATATGCTAGAATTCATTATAATTCCTTTATAATATGTTAAAAACATTATAAGGCAATTATAATGTATTATAATAGTTTATAATATAACTGTAATGTTATATAATAAATTATAAAGTGTTATAATAGATTATAATACAATTATAATCTGATATGTTGAGTTATAATATATTATAATACATTTTAATGCTTTTTAATATATTATTATTTACATTTTAAAATTTTCTAAAGCTTTATAATTTAAATATAATACAATTATAATATGCTAAAATTCATTATAAATCCGTTATAATATGTTACAAAACATTATAACGCAATTATAATGTATTATAATAGTTTATAATACAACTGTAATATTATGTAATGAGTTATAAAGTATCATAATAGATTATAATACAATTATAATCTAATATGTTTAGTTATAATGTATTAAAATACATTATAAAGCCTTTAAATACATTATAATTTAAATTAAAGTTTCCTAATGCTTTAATTCAAATATAATACAATTATAATATGCTATAATTCATTATAATTCCTTTATAATATGTTATAAAATATTACAACGCAATTATAATGTATTATAATAGTTTATAATACAACTGTAATGTTATATAATGAGTTATAATGTATTATAACACGAATATAATCTGATATATTGAGTTATTATATATTATAATACAGTTATAATGTTTTATAATACTATTTTAATCTGTTAAAATATGTTGTAATATATCATAATACATTATAATGTTTTAAAATACATTATAATTCAGTTATTCTATATCAAAATTTATCACAGAGCAATTATAATAGCTTATAATGTGCTATAATACGATTATAATGTATTATAATATATTATAATAAACTTTTGTGCAATTATAATATGATATAATGTTTTAAGTTATATTATAATACTATTATAATTATTATAATTCCATATATTGGGATTATTCTATGTTACAAATCATTATAATAGACTTATAATCTAAATTAATAAATTATAATTCAATTATAATGTGTTATAATACATTATAATACTAGTATAAAGTTTAATAACACAATAAAATTAAAATAAAGATGTTATAATTCATTATAAAACAGTAATAATGCCGTTATAATGTATTATAATACACTACAAGACAAATATAATGAATTGTGACACATTCTCATAAAACTATGGTTTAAATAGTTTAAATAATATAAAATCTATAGTTTAAGTTATATTATAATACTATTATAATTATTATGATTCCATAAATTGGGATTATTCTATGTTATAACTTATTATAACTTAATTATAATGTATTATAATACTGTTATAAAGTTTAGTATAGCATTAAAATTAAATTAAAGAAGTTATAATTCATTATAAAACAGTTATAATGCCGTTATAATGTATTATAATACAAATATAATGAGTTTTGCAACATTTCAATAAAACTATAATATGATACAATAAGTTAAAATACAATTATAATACATTCGAATTTAACATACTTATTTCAATACTCTCACGATATGGTGTCACTAATTATAATTTTATTTTAATGCCTTATAATGTATTATTATAATCATTATAATATATTATAAACAATATTTTACAAACCATAATAACACAATTAAATAGTTTACAGTCCTTTATTGTATTCCCTTAAAATCCTCATTCAACAAAACAAAAGACTTAAGCTACAAACCTTAAACATCATAACATCTCTTAAACAAAAGTAAACAAACTTTCTACAGAATCATTCTTTTACAAGACTAAATATAAAAACAAGTTTATAAAAACAAACGTCAAAAAATTATGTCATTTAACGTAACAATGATATAATACTAAAAAAAATATAAACCACAAAAGAAAAAAACTATAAAAATATGGGAGTTAAACAACAACCGTAATATTAATTACATAGTGAGAACAAAGCTAAAAAAAACGTCTCAGTAACAAGCAGAAAAATTTAATTACTATTATGTGAAATAAAAAAAAAAAACAAGTCTTCATTAGGGTTACATTTTGGGTTAATTTAAATGAAAACTATAATTATGTTTACACAAAATTAGTTATTTAGTTTTAGTTACACACAAAAAAAACACTAAATTTAAAGTAAATAAATCTTTTTACTTTAGAACTTAAACATTAATTACGATGGTCATTTATTAGACTCTGCTACTCTAAAGTAATATATAGAAAAAAAGAGCAAAATGTTTAAAGTTAAAATCAAGGCTTCATTTAATTTATAGGTTACTAGGCAATTGTTGTGTACTAGACCTAGCTGTACTTTAAAGTAATTAATTACTTTTATATAGAATTTGTAAAAAAAAAAAAATATTTAAATTTTATAAAAAGAAGAATAACATGTGAACGCAGAAAGCTGTATGGTGTGAACAAAATTTCAATGACTAGACAGATAGGTGGATGGACGGACAAATCAATAGTTGGAAAGATGGAAGCACAGATATTCATTTAAGGATTTAAACATGTTCTTTTTATTATTTAATACACAACTAAATCCCTTTATAAAACCTAATTTTAGTCTTTTAAATAAATTTTTTACTTTTTTAAACAACAATATATTGACCTATTGAGCAAAGCTCTAATTATGACTAACTACTGGTATTTTTTATTTATTCTATTTTTATTTAATTTTATACACAAAGCAAGCATAAATACACTACTTAACAAATATTCTTTATAATTATTCTAATTATAAAGAATTCTTTAAATTAATGAATTTTTTTATTAATTAGCTGCTGCTATTCTCTTAGCAAATAGTGTTAAATAACAGTGTTCTTGCAGCCAAAATAAATACCGGGAAAAAACTGAAACCTAAAATTATAAAATTTTACAGTTGTTTTTAAAATTCTTAAACAAGTAAAAGCAAAAGAAAGAAAAACATTAATTCTTACTGCTACAATAGTTAAAAGAAATGAAATATTATAATACGCTAATTAGCTTCTTTCTAGCATCCACCTCTTTGTTGTAAACTTAAAAAATTATGCAAGAATAAAATAAAGAAAAATAAAAATAACTAGTTAAATTTTTTAACAATTATCTATCTTGCTGATACATACATATGATTTGGTCTTTAATTTTAATTATATTATAAAAGTTAAAAAAAAAAAGAAATTTTAGTGCCACTTTATTTTTTGAGAATATGAGAAAATAAAATTCTCACCGTACTTTATAATGATATTATTGGCTTAAACATCATGTGTTCTCTATTGTGTTAGTTTTATTTAAGTTTAAGATTATATCATTACCGTAACATCTATATACAAAGCCATACCCATAAAATTTTGACTACCATATGTGAGAGTAGTTTTTGTGTAAAATAATTTTTAATAGTACAAAATTTTACATGTAAAAGAGATAAAAGCAAAATTAGAATTATATAAGAAAGTAGTAAATATTTTAGTAGTAATTTCAATTTGTTTTTAATAAAAATTATAATTAATAAAGTATTTTTAATTGTAAATTTTAAAAGTAAATTAAAATTATTTAAACGTCAAGCTTAAATTATGAAATATTTCCAAAAACATCAAATTATTACAATTATAATGCATTATAATCCATTATAATACGATTATAATAAGTTATAGTACATAATAATATAATTATAATGCATTATAACTCATTATAATGGAATTATATTTCGTTATAATGAATTATAATACACTATAATATAAACTAAACTAATTATAATGTGTTATAATTTATAAACATTTATATTTATAGTATGTTATAAAACATTATAACATAATTATAACTACTGTCATAATTTATTTAAATTATATTATAATATTCTATAATCCCTTATAACAGAACTATTGGCTACTCTAACGTTCACAAATAATTGTATATTACAATAACAATTTACTAAAATTTTATTAAATAAGCATATAATTTATTATAAGTGATTATAATAGAATTATAATGCATTATAATCAATTGTAACAAAATTATAATGAGTTATAATTCATTATAACGAAATTATAATGCATTATATTTCATTATAACAACATTATAATATATTATAATAATTATAGCAGAATTATTTACACCGAAAACTAATTACAACATATTATAATTGATTGCATCATATGTATTATAATTAATATAATCCATTATAATTGAATGATAATATAATTAAAAATCAATTAGCAAACAAAATTGGTTTCTTCAAAAAAATGTGTAATAATGTTATAAATATTATAACAATTTATTATAATTTTGATATAATATGTTAGAGTTTTATGAAATAAAAATTTAAACCATTATAACGGCTTATTATACATTATTACATAATTATGATTTATTATAATACATCACAATATAATTACAATGAATTTGAGAATGATTATAATGGCATTATAATGTATTATAATTCATTATAATCCATTCAATCCATGGAATCTTTTGATAAATACCCTATAACAAAGTTATAATGTTTTAAAATGCATTATAATATAGATAGTGGGAGAAGAAACTGTGGCCAAACCCAACCAACCACTAGTATATATTTAAAATATTATTTGAAACAAATCTAACTTAAATCTTTTTAAATTTTCTCAGAATTTATAAAGCAATACTTAAACTATAGAACAGTACAATTTAATCTAATTTAAATGCTAACAAAACTCTTTAACAAATCACATAAATTTGTTAAATTAAGTGTATATAACAACACAATTAGCTAACAACATTTACAGACTCTTTAAAACAGATACCCTAATGAGATAACCACAAATAACTTAACAATTTGAATTATCTTATAAAATTTTATAACAAGCTATTCATTAAACAAAATCATAAACAAATTAAAATAATTTCTTTTATTTTTCTCCACCTTTCATTGCAGCCACTTTTTATCTAAATAGAACAGAAACAGAGACAACATGTTCTTACGCAAAAGTCTAGTATTCTTAATGCTTTTCCTAGTGATTAGCTCAGCGTCAGCTGCACGCAAAACAAAACGTCCCGTCAAGCCGGCCAAAACATTTCCCCGTACAAATGTAACACCTTCACCCCAGCAACAACTGGCGGCTGCACCAACAACATCCACAACATCAACAACCACCTCGACTACAGCAGCACCAATTAAACAGGAGAATGTTAGTGTTGAGGAAGCTGATCTAACAGGAAATGTTATGAATGACAGTGAATTGCCAAAACCATTGGACGCTGCTGTCGCTGCTGCGGTTAATCAAGCGAACGGAAATATGCAACATGAACAATTGCAACAAGAATCAAAGACTGAAATGCCAACGGAATTAGAAGGCGGTAATAATGGTGGTGCTGGTATGATTGAAGAGGAATGTGATCCGGATATGATTGGTTTTGAAATTATAACGGGGTAAGTGATGTAATTAATTATGAAATTGAGGTGAAATAGATATGGAAAGAGCATAAAAGAATACTAAGTAGTTAGAAATGAGAGCAAAATGATAATGTAAATATATTTTATAGCTGTTATTGAATGGCAGACAAGAGATGTAGCAATGAAAGTATGTTAATGGTTAGGTTAGAGTTAAAGAGTACAAATATTGTCATGGTTTTAAAGCAATGACATAAAGACATAATAATTGTGCATATTAAGTGCTAGTGATGACAGTCTTAGACTTCCTCAAATAGTTATTGAAACAATATTTTCAGGAAGTAAACATTTTATACATAAGTATAACAATTTTAAATAATTTTAGAATAATTGTTAGAGTAATTAAGCTGAAAAGGGATAATAATGTATTTTAGTACCAATAAAATGTATTATAAGAAATTATTATACCATTATAAAGTATTATAATATATTATAATATTATTATAATTCCATTATAATTCTATAGAATACAGTATAATGCATTATAATACATTATTTATCATTATAATGTACTACAGTTTTATGGTAAAGTGTTATGTCACATTATAATTCAATTATAATAATTTTTTAGTCGTTATAATTGTATTACAATGCATTGACTTGTATAATACATTATTATATTATTATAATTTGTTATTTATATTATAATAATGCACTGCAGAGATTCTTATGTCATTATAACATATTATAATATATTATAACGTCTTGTTATACATTATAATATTGTTTAATGGTTTATTATATGCTCTAACTGCATTATAATGTTTTATAATACTTTATAATGCGTAAAAAAAATTATTTATTAATCATTAAAATTTTATATTATTAGTCATTATAATTATCTTATAATGTGTTATAATTTATTTTCAATCCCTTATAATGTATTATAACACAGGAAGTAAACATTTTATACACATAACAAATTTTAAATAGATAATTTTAGAATAATTATGCTGAAAAGGGATAATTATATATTCTAGTACCAATAAAATACATTATAAGAGATTATTATACCATTAAAATGTATTATAATGCATTATAATTTTATTATAATTCCATTATAATGCTACAAAATACAATATAATGCGTTATAATACATTATTTATCATTAAAATGTACTACAGTACAGGTAAAGTGTTATGTCACATTATAATTCCATTATAATAAGTTTTTAGTGGTTATAATTGTATTATAATGCGGTGACTTGTATAATACATTATTATATTATTATAATTTGTTATTTATATTATAATAATGCACTACAGAGATTCTTATGTCATTATAACAGATTATAATGTATTATAACGTCTTGTTATGCATTATAATATTGTTATAATGATTTATTATGTGTTCTAACTCCACTATAATATTTTATAGTACATTATAATGCGTAAGTAATATATTTTTTGTCAAAATAAAGTGTTAAATGCATTAGAATTTTATTATAAAAATGTATAATATATTATAATTAGATTATAATAAGTTATTAGTCATTATAATTATCTTATAATGTGTTATAATTTATGTTCGATCCATTATAATGTATTATAACATATTATAATATAATTATAATACATTATGATGTTATTAATCATTATAATTATCTTATAATGTCTTATAATTTATTTTCGATCCATTATAATGTAATTATAATACATAACGATGTCATTATAATGCATTATAACATATTATAATATAATTTTAATACATTATAATACGTTATAATGTCAATATAATTAATTTTTTTAAATATATTTGTCAATATCAAACAATTTGAAAAATCAACGCTACACATTATTTCAAAACAAATAAAATCTTAACAAATCTTTGCATTTCAAAACGTTAAAAAACAAAAATTAACTTTCCTTCAAAAATTTCCTCAAACTTTTTCTATGATAACTAGAAGCTATTTAACTGTGTTTCAATAACAAACAATAAACATATTTTTATTAATATTAAAATAAATCCCACAAATGCTTTTCAAACACGTTTGTTTTCTAAATCTTTTGTTTACTTAATAACCATTAAATAAAAAGTGAAATTCTTTTGTGACAAAGGAATTAAATTAAAAAAAAATTATATAATATTTAGAAACATTTGACAAAAGCTGTTTACACTTGTTAAATTTTTAATAAAATTATCTATCTTTTATGGTTTTAACTCTTTACAAATAATGCAAATTTTTTTTTATTTAAAATGTTTAATACTAAATTGTAACGGTTACTGTTGAAAGTAACTTTTGCTTTCTTATCTTTTTCAAAGATTTAACATGTGTTGTAGTTTTATTTTGTTCATATTAATATGTTAATTTATTTAACCATATTTGATAGCTTTATTTTCTAATTTTATTGTTTAATTAAAAAAACATAGAAAGAAATATAAAAACAAATGTTTTTCTGTTATTGTTTGGTTGTTTCGTCTAACATTTAGCAAATTTAACAGATTCTTTTGCTTACTCATAGTCATCGTCATTTTTATGAGCGTTATCATATAAAATTTGTATTTTATTTAGACATATGAAGACTCATCATCTTCAGCTATTATATTATGGTTATTAAAACCTTCATCATCATTATTATCATCATAAAAACGTAGTCACTGAACTTTCGTTTTCACTTCAAAAAAAAAAAAAAAAACCTAAATGTAGTAAATACGTGTTGTATTGCTTTGTTGTTAAAGTGCAAAAATTACTTTTAATTTGTTACTATTTTTTTTTTTTTTTTTTTTTTGTTAAATCATTGTTTTATTGATATGTTATTATGATATTATAATTTGATTTTTTTCTCTTAAAATTTTTGTTATCAAGATTGAAAGTGTAAATTATGTTTAAAATTATATATGAAAAAAATCTCTTTTGTGTATAATGTAGTTTGTAATAGAAGCTGTTAAGGCGTTAATTTGTTTAGCTATATTTCTGTTAGAGAGAAATTTTTAAGTTTTTTTTTATCTGATTGCGATATGTGGGTTTTTTTTAGAAAAATAATATGATAAATAATGTCTTGATTAGAAATAGAAATCAGAATGTGAGAAAATGTTTATAATGTTTTTGAAATGAGTTATATAAAGAGCAATTAAGGTGAAAATAGTTTTTGTTAAAAATTTGATTAAAAAAAAAAACACAGAAGTTATAGTTAGTTTTCTTATATTTCAATACAATTGTGTTATAATTTAAGAAAACTAACTATAATATGCTATAATGCAATCGTTATGTATTATAACTGATTATAATGCAATTATAATGGATTATAACTTATTATAATGTAATTTTAATGTATTATAGTATATTATAACTGATTATAATGCAATTATAATGTATTAAAACTAATTATAATATACTATAATGCAATTTTGATGTATTATAACTGATTATAATGCAATTATAATGTACTATAACTTATTATAATGTAACTAAAATGTATTATAGTGTATTATGGCTAATTATAATGTATTAAAACTAATTATAATATATTATAATGCAATCTTGATGTATTATAACTGATTATAATGCAAGTATAATGTATTATAACTTATTATAATATAATTATAATGTATTGAAGTGTATTATAACTTATTATAATGTAATTATAATGGATTATAACACATTATAATGCAGTTTTAGTACATTAAAGTTTTTTAAAATACATTTATAATTATTATAATACTTTATGAACATGTTATAATTTATAATTGTAAATTAAAATTGCGTTATAAAATATTATAATTTGCTTTTGTGAGAATATATTGATTAATAACTAATTATAATCGTGTTATAATATATCATAAACCATCACAATTGCATTTCAATATACTGAAGCTATTTAAAATTAAAGTATAATATATTGTAACTTATTATAAACACTTTATAAATTATTAAAGGCTATTCTAATTACATTACACGATTTTATAATGCATTATAATCGAGATTTTATATATTATAAATAATTATAATCATATTATAATATGTTACAATATATTGGAACAGCATTATCGTATACCAAAGCGTATTAAAATTTTATTATAATATGTTATAACGCATTATAATCATATTAAAATAAAATAATTAAGCTTATTATAATTTAATTATAATTATTGGAATGTATTATAATTCGAATATAATATAGTTATAATATTATAATTATTAATAATATTTCAAATCTCGATTATAATGCATTATAATATCTTAGTAACAGCATTATCGTATACCAAAGCGTATTGAAATTTTATTGTAATATCTTATCATGCATTATAATCGTTTTAAAATAATTATAATCCAGTTATAAAGTATTAAAACAAATTAAAGCTGCATTCTAATATAATTAAGCATATTATAATTATTGGAATGTATTAGAATTAAAATATAATAGATTATATTATATTACTATATTATAATGTTCGAAAACTTATTATAACTAAATTATAATTTATTATAACAAGTTATAATGATATTATACTTTGATAAAACTTATTATAATTATGTTGAAAGGTATTACAATAATTTTAAACGTGTTATAATTTATTAAAACAAATTATAACAGTGATATTATATACTTGATCATGTTATGATATAATTATAATTATTATAAACTATTATTATTGAATTATAATATTTGTTGACTAATCATTATACCGTTAAAATTACAATATTTTAATTATAATTGCGCTAAAATGGATTATAATAAATTACAATTCAAATACAATTTATTATAAAATATTTTAATTAAATACTTGTTATTAAAAACATAATATTAACTCAAGCTTCTTCGTCTATTTCATTTTCTAAAATTGCTCTAACAAATCATCACAATTTATTCATTATTTATTACAAAATCTTTGTAAACTATTTTATTCCTTGCCACAAAGTATGAACAAATATTTTATAATTTTTCCACTTTTTTTCACATCTCTTACAGTTATGTATTATCGGCGCCATCAAAATTACTTGACACACTGCCTGGTACACTCATGTTGACCGATTGCTTAGAGGCTTGTCAGATAAATGAATCATGTACGGCTGTTAATTATGAAACCGGCTTATGTGTACTATTCAAAACAACAGCGGATAAAACACCAGGTAAGTTTTGCAAACTAATAAATACAATCACTTCTGTTTAAAGAAATCCTGCTGCCACAATATGCGTTTCAATGGCAATATTTTAGTTTGGTTTTATTCATGTTTTTGTTCTGCTGTGACCTATTGCACGAAATTTTCTTTAGCTGTCAGTTGAATTATGTGCATGTCTTAAATAAAAAAGAGGGGGGCTTGTCTTATAAACTTGTCCTTGTTATTTTGTGATTGAAAAAAACTAAAACTTTATGCGTTCATATTGCTAACTATATAAAGAAAGCCAACAAATAAAATCTAACTATAGGCCTGTTTTTAATAACAGGTTTCCCGGCTAAAAGTCTTGTGTTTATGGCAAAATTTATGTATATAGACAGACACTTACTCGCATATAAAAATGAAATCAAGTAACACAAAATCATTTTGCCAACGCCTTAACGCACTTTGTAAAAAATAAAAAAAAAAACCGAGAGAAGAAAAAATACGACAAAAAAAATACAAAAACTGAAAAACACATAAAGTATAAAAACATTAAAAAATTAACACTATGGGTCGAAAAGAACTTTAAATAAACTTAAAAAAAAGGATTTTAAAAGAACAGTTCTAAACAGTTCTTATTAAAAAAAATTTTTTGTTAAGGAGTGTACTTGATATACATATTTAAAGCAAAAAAAGGGGACGAATGCCAAAAATGTATAGTGCAACAAATACAACAACCACTTCCAAAAATTTACGAAACAGCTTTTTAAAGCTTTTAAATTTTCTCCTTTTAGTTGATACTGATTTAAAAGGAGTTTAAAGTAAAATTGTTTATATAAAACAAATACTTAAGCAGCAAACTGGCTGCAACTGAAATTTTACTTTTAAAGAATATGTTTTAAAAATTTTAAGCTTTTACTTTAATTCTAGTTTTCAATATCCTATAAAATACATTCTTAAAGAAAATCGTAACGAAAAATCCTCATCCCATAGTGCGGCCGCTTGTTGTAATATTGTATATTGGAGCTGCTGTTGTTGGTTTCTACTACAAGCCTTTTTTTTAATGTGCCACAAAAAACATAAGAAAAAATACTATATACAAAACGACAAAGATTATATTGGCCTTCGTCTGATTTCTTAACGCCTGTTAATTTTTTACTACCAACCAACAACAAGTGCGTGTTTAAAATATGCAATTTTATAGGCAGGCTCCATATACACTCAAAACACAAAAAGGCCAGGCACTGGTTTTAAGCCAAAAAAAAAAACTAAAACATAAAACCAAAACATATAAAACACAAAAAAATAGCCAACTAGAATCTAAAAACTAGACTTTTTACTCCAATAACCGTTATAGAATAATAACAACAAAAAAATGCGTAAACATGAAAAATACAAGAAACAGAAAAAAACTCAATAATTTTTATTACTTCTATTTTTAGGATCACTTTCGCGTTCACAGTACCCAGTTTTTACAATTTACGCACAAAAATCTTGTTTGGGTGTACGTCCTTGCTCTAAAGCCTGGTGCATTGATCGTGTACAAAACTATCGTTTAGTTGAACATGTTAAATCCAGTCAGACAGTCTATTCAAGACGTGATTGCTTGGAATTGTGTTTGGGTGAAACTGAATTTACATGCAGGTAAGTTACTTTTTTTTCATCTTTTCGTGCATAAATAATAAAATGTCAGTTCTTAAAAATACGTTTTGAGAATTGAAAAAAAAAAAAAAAAAGAATGAAAACGAAACTTTTTTCTTTTGATAAAAACAAGAAAAGAAATATGATATGAAATTTTATATAAAATGTTACCAGTATTTTGTTTTAAATAATTATAACACATAAATCATATTATTTTGTTGAATTAAACCACCACACATTATGCAAATTATTATTATTATTTTTGAAAACACAAAACTATAGAAATTTACCAAAAGGTGTTTATGATTTATTAGTTATTAAAAAACCATTAATAATACCTACTCTTAAATGTTAAAAGGGGTTTTAAAGATTTATTAACAAATTAAAGCGTATTTTTTTTAATCATAAACTTTCCCACGCTTATTAAAACTATTAAAAATTAATCCTAATAAAATTATCTTAATATATTCCATTTAAAATTTACGCTTTATTAGAAATCTTCAGTCTCACTAATCATAAACTTTAGAGTTTATTAAGGGTTTTTAAAATAAAATTGGTGAGAAATTTTATAAATCCTTTATAAACTCAAAACTTTATTATAAATAACACTATGCATGGGCATGATTTTAAATTATAAGTAAAAAATACCACTAAACATACTTTCACACTAACCTAACTTTTTAACTAAACCAGGCAAGAATTTGTTCAAATTTTAACGTTTAACAACACTTTTCTTAAATTTGTATAAAAAAACAAACTTAGTTTTATCTTTAAAACAAAGCTAATCGATTTTCCTTAGTATTTTTTGGAAAATTCTATCATTAAAACTCAAAAATTCTTTAAATTAAAAAAATCGTTTTCCAACACTGGTAATAATTTTTGTTAAAATCTAATTGAAATGACTCAATAAGTCTAGAGTAGTTAAAATTTCTTAGTATTTTTAAAAACCATTCAATTTTAAACTTGAAATGTCAAAAAAATTTCAAAACCTTAACCAACACTACTAAAAATTTCTAGCAAAATCTACTCCAAATCTTTAGCCAACTATTAATAATTATAAATTTGTCTCCAAAATAAATTTAATTTCAAAATTTAAACATTAAAATCTAGAAATTCAACATGTTAAAACCATCGTTTTGCAACACTAGTCATAATTATTTATAACAACTAACTTAAATGCTTCGTTAAGTCTTAAAAACATAAAATTACTTAGTATTTTTTTAAAAAACCTAGTAATAAAAGACTTAAAATATGAAAATTTAAAAAAATCTTTACCAACACTGCTAACTAATTTAAACAAATAAAAGTTTAAATGCTTTTTTGCAACAAACCTAATCAATGTTTTATAGTATTACTAAAAAATGTTTAACTTTTAAGCTAAAAACATTTCAAAATTTGAAATCATTTTCCAACACTACTCATAAAATGTCACCAGTTTCAATAGAAATAGTTGCCTTAAACATTATTAATTGAAATTTTTAAGTATTAAGGCATTTGAGTCGTTAATAACAAAAACCAAAATAAACGTTTTCCAACACTTTTAACATTTGTTCTCTAAAATAAATAGATATTATCCCCAGTGTAAAATTTAACTTAAAATATTAAGTATTTCAAGGAACAAACTTAATTTGAGCAGAATAAGCTTTCAAATTATAAAAAACGTTTACCAACACTACTAAGAAAATACAAAAGAATTCATTGAAAATTAATGCTATTTAAATGTTACTAACGCAATACTAACTACAATACATCACAATCTAGCTTTGGCATCAACTAATAGAAATTCGCATGAAGTCCTTTTAATTTATAACATTTTGCAACACTATTTTAATTATAACACCCATTACCAACACTAAGAACTTCTAATCTTAAATTTAAACATCTTGATCTTTACTAGTTTTCCAAAACTTTATATTTCTTTTAAAACTTTACAAATCTATTTCATTTTGCCATAATACAACTTTCTTTCTCTCTTTATCTCTCTCACACACTCTTTCTATGTTCTTCTTATTCTACATTTGGGCTTTAATACTCATCTCTTCTCAATTTCAATCTTAACTGTGCATGTGTGTGGTTACAAAATATTATTTCTCTTTACTCCCCCGACAACTATCAACCGAAAAACCCAACATATAGATCGGCCAATTATTATCGTCATTCTGGCTTGTGCGAATTGTCTGATATGGATCGTATTACTTTGTCTGGCTCTACCAATGTGGAACCCTACGATGGTGCTGATTACTTGGAAAACAATTGTGCCGAAGAACCCAGTAAATTGTGTGAATTCAAGAGAATTTCTGGAAAAATCTTAAAGACTGTAGATTCTGTTTATCAAGATATCAACTCTATTGAAGAATGTCGTGAATTGTGTTTGAACTCACCATACAGGTAGGAGTGTTGCTTAAACTAGTTATCATCCAATTTAATAACTATTCCCTTTTTAGATGTCATTCTTATGATTACAACGATACTGGTGATATGGTCTGCCGTTTGTCCCATCACTCTCGCTCTACTTTGACCGATGTTTTGGATCCCTATTTGGATGTTGCCGAGGCTGCTACTTATGAATTGTCTTCTTGCTATAATGTTTCTATTGAATGTAAGGCCGGTGAAATGATTACCAAGATTCGCACCTCAAAATTGTTCGATGGCAAGGTCTATGCTAAGGGTTCACCCAAACACTGTGCCGTTAATGTTAACAACTCCTTGGAATTCGATTTCCGCATGGGCTACAATGATTTGGAATGTAATGTTCGCCAGTCTGCCTATGGCCGTTATATGAATGATATTGTTATTCAACATCATGATATGATTGTTACTTCTTCCGATTTGGGTTTGGCTGTCTCATGCCAATTTGACTTGACCAACAAAACTGTCTCGAATGATGTTGATTTGGGTGTTACGGGAGAAATTGAATCTTCGATAAGCGAAGAAATCATCATTGACTCACCCAATGTAATAATGAAGATCACTTCACGCGATGGCAGCGACATGAAACGTATTGCTGAAGTTGGTGATCCCTTGGCTTTGAGATTCGAAATTATCGATCAAAACAGTCCCTATGAGATCTTTGTTCGTGAATTAGTTGCTATGGATGGTGCTGATAATGCTGAGATAACTTTGATTGATGCTCACGGTTGTCCCACCGATCAATATATTATGGGTGCTGTACAGAAAATGTCACAGAATCGTAAATATTTGGTTTCTCAATTCGATGCTTTCAAATTCCCCTCTTCGGATGTTGTACAATTCCGTGCTTTAGTTACTCCTTGTATTCCTCGCTGTGAACCGGTTATTTGCGATAATGAAGATGCTGTCAGTGGTGATTTGAAATCTTTAGTTTCCTATGGCCGCAAAAAGAGATCTATTGTTAATGGTACAGATGGTGGTAAGTGTTTTGTTTGTTTTATTTTGGGGAGGAGGAAACTGGGGAGTTATTGGTTTGTTTTAAGTTATTTTAACTATGTCCTCTTATGTGTCTTTTCCAGCTGAATTTTTGTTGTCCTCTAGCCATTTGCATCGTCAGCAACGTGATGTTAGCCAAAAACCTGCCGATGATAAGATTTTATTAACTGAATCCATTCAAATTACTGACAAATTCGGTTTCAATCGTGAAGATGCCAATGCTTTGAACTCTGCGGAAACTCGTGAAAAGGTTTATTCCGGTATTACAGAAGAAGCTATCACTTGTCTCAATGGTTATGGTAAGTAAAAGCCAATAAAAAAGTTTAAAGGATAATTATTAAAAATCCTTAAATACTCATGATTTAAAAAATAACTCATGATATTAAATTTTCAACTTTATCCCATGGCCAAAGTGTTTTAAACGGCATCACATTTTTCAATAAAACACTTAACCTTGAAATTATATTTCATAAATAATCTTAGTTTCCCTAACTATTGACCCAATAACAAATAATTTTTCAAACGATTTGATGAAATTTTCTTTTTAATAGATTTCTAGTTAAAAATATTTCAATTTACAATTTATGACTAGAAAATAAACCCATAAAAAATAAATACAAATTATTTATTTCTGTGGTGTATTTGACTTTGTTTTATTAAATTTTTTTTGGCAACAAAATATAAAAAAAAAAAAATGAGAGAGAGTTCGTGATCAGGTCACTAGTTCAGTAGTTTGAACATGATACAATATGTTGTGTTACGGTTGCTAATCGTGCAAACCATAAAACAAATGTTTTCATTTCAAAGCTTGACACAAGCATCCACAACAACAACAACAGCAAAATGTAAAGAAATATGGATAAGAAACTAACAGACAGACAAACGAAACTTTGGTAAAAAAATGTTGCCAAAAAACATGATACAAAGAAAAGCACTAACCTGCCACAGCAATCATCATATGTACGAGTACATACTGAGAGAGATAAGCCGACATTTTCATATGTTTGTATGCAATGTTTAAACATATTAAATGTCTGTTTAATCCTTTTAAGAAATAGCTTAAAGCTGGATGAACCAAAAAATAAAAAACGGTTTTACCACCTGTTGTGTTGGTAGAAATGAAAAAAAAACTCAAATTGAAAACAATCTTATAATCTTAAAAGCATATGTGAGCCATAAAAGGAGGTAACAGGCATTTTTAACAAATTTAGTTTTTGTTTTTGTAATAAAAAGGTTAATCAAAATTTTAATAAAAAGTAACTGATATAGAAGTGAACCAGAACAGAACTAGAACAGAAGTAGAATGGAATTATAAAAGAACTAGAACAGAACTAGAACAGAACTAGAAAAGAACTAGAACAGAACTAGAACAGAACTAGAACAGAACTTGAACAGAACTAGAAAAGAGCTAGAACAGAACAGAACAGAACAGAACAGAACAGAACTAGAACAGAACAGAACAGAACTAGAACAGATCTAGAACAGAACTAGAACAGAACTAGAACAGAACTAGAACAGAACTAGGACAGAACTAGAACAGAACTAGAACAGAACTAGAACAGAACTAGAACCGAACTAGAACAGAACTAGAACAGAACGAGAACAGAACTAGAACAGAACTAGAACAGAACTAGAACAGAACTAGAACAGAACTAGAACAGAACTAGAACAGAACTAGAACAGAACTAGAACAGAACTAGAACAGAACTAGAACAGAACTAGAACATGAACTAGAACAGAACTAGAACAGAACTAGAATAGAACTAGAACAGAACTAGAACAGAACTAGAACAGAACTAGAACTAGAACTAGAACAGAACTAGAACAGAACTAGAACAGAACTAGAACAGAACTAGAACAGAACTAGAACAGAACTAGAACAGAACTAGAACAGAACTAGAACAGAACTAGAACAGAACTAGAACAGAACTAGAACAGAACTAGAACAGAACTAGAACAGAACTAGAACAGAACTAGAACAGAACTAGAACAGAACTAGAACAGAACTAGAACAGAACTAGAACAGAACTAGAACAGAACTAGAACAGAACTAGAACAGAACTAGAACAGAACTAGAACAGAACTAGAACAGAACTAGAACAGAACTAGAAACAGAACTAGAACAGAACTAGAACAGAACTAGAACAGAACTAGAACAGAACTAGAACAGAACTAGAACAGAACTAGAACAGAACTAGAACAGAACTAGAACAGAACTAGAACAGAACTAGAACTGAAATAGAACTGAACTAGAACTGAACTAGAACTGAACTAGAACAGAACTAGAACAGAACTAGAACAGAACTAGAACAGAACTAGAACAGAACTAGAACAGAACTAGAACTAGAACTGAAATAGAACTGAACTAGAACTGAACTAAAACTGAACTAAAACTGAACTAGAACTAGAACAGAACTAGAACAGAACTAGAACTGAACTAGAACAGAACTAGAACAGAACTAGAACAGAATTAGAATAGAACTAGAACAGAACTAGAACAGAACTAGGGCAGAACTAGAACAGAACAGAACTAGAATAGAACTTGAACAGAACTAGAACAGAACTAGGACAGAACTAGAACAGAACTAGAACAGAACTAGAACTGAACTAGAACTGAACTAGAACTGAACTAGAACAGAACTAGAACTGAACTAGAACGGAACTAGAACTGAACTAGAACTGAACTAGAACTGAACTAGAACTGCTAGAACTGAACTAGAACTGAACTAGAACTGAACTAGAACTGAACTAGAACTGAACTAGAACTGAACTAGAACTGAACTAGAACTGAACTAGAACTGAACTAGAACTGAACTAGAACTGAACTAGAACTGAACTAGAACTGAACTAGAACTGAACTAGAACTGAACTAGAACTAGAACTGAACTAGAACTGAACTAGAACTGAACTAGAACTGAACTAGAACTGAACTAGAACTGAACTAGAACTGAACTAGAACTGAAGTAGAACTGAACTAGAACTGAACTAGAACTGAACTAGAACTGAACTAGAACTGAACTAGAACTGAACTAGAACTGAACTAGAACTGAACTAGAACTGAACTAGAACTGAACTAGAACTGAACTAGAACTGAACTAGAACTGAACTAGAACTGAACTAGAACTGAACTAGAACTAGAACTGAACTAGAACTGAACTAGAACTGAACTAGAACTGAACTAGAACTGAACTAGAACTAGAACTCAACTAGAACTCAACTAGAACTAATTTACGAAATTTTGTAGTATTTGTTAAATCAATTAAATTTCTGTTAGTATGTGTATTTAAGATAACACAAAAAGAGTACTTAAGACCTTATGCAATGTGTGTATAAATATCATTTATTTATGTATTTGTGTTTCCATATTTAAACACCTTATGGTTTCTTTTTGATTTCTAACAAACTCTTACGAATATCTAAGCTAGTAACCAAAGTTGTTAAAATGGCTTCAAGCGCCAGTTGGTTCCTTTATTTTCAGTTCTCATTATTATGGTTATTATACCAAAATGTATGTTGTGCTTAAAAACAAATTTCATCAACCCACTTGAATATTTTTATAAATATTTTTTTATTCGACTGCCTGTCTATTTAGACTTAAATATGGCATGTGCTTAAAGTCTTCCTGTATTTATGGTTAAAACCCAGAATGTGTGTGGTTCTATTTATTTTTGGTTAGAAGCCAGAAAACAAGCAATCTTATCATTATTTAGCGATTTAACATTTAAAATCTTTAAAAAAGATTTCCACGTAATTTAAACATTAACAAGATTTTACAGCAACCAAATACATACACACTTAGCTCGTTCAGCATTAAACATTCAAGAAAAATTCTAGTGCAACTATGCTTTTGGAATTAATGTAATTTTGATGATATTTCTTTTGTTGTTAAAGGGAAATTAAAAGAAATTGTTAACATATTTTATGTTGAATGAAAAAAAAGAGTAGGTTGATTTTGATTTCCTTTTCTGTGTAACAAAAATTGAAAAAAAAGAAAAACATGACCATAAACAAATATCAACACTTTCTCTTGTCTTGTCTGCCAACAATTGAATAAAAACAATTGTTGTAGAAACAAATTTGTTTATTTTAACTTTTAACGGAAATAGAACAATAAGATTTGTTTTTCACAGTAAAAGGAAACATGAAAGAAAAATTTCTTTTAAATTGTGTTAAATTTTAACATTTTTTTGGTTTGTTTAACTAAAATATAAAATTCCTTTGCATTATGTTTATGGCAAGTATGTGTCTTAAGTCTTTTGTTTTAGTTTCATGTGTTAAATGTCTACTTTAAGGTTATGCTTAAAAATGACATTACCATGTTAAATTTTAAAACTTTAAAGGGTAACCACACTCTTGGCAATTCTATGAAATGATATCTGAGAAAATTTAGGAAAATTTTATACTTTTATTAGTTATTTCTTAAAAAAAAATCTTTTCAAATAAAAATATTTGTTTTGTTTTGTAACTTGCAGGTCTCATTATTGCTGGTGCTGTATTCTTATTGGCACAATTATCAGTATTTGCCATTTGGAAGACTGTACAAAATCGTTCCAAGAAAGAACGTTACTTATACCACCAAGACTCTGCCCCCTCTTCGGTAAACTATGGCGCTCCTCCCACCATGGTCTATGGTTCATCTCATCACAATCATGGCGGACATCAGCAACAACCCACAGCCAGTGATACACTAGGAAAACTATATGACAGTGGCATGACTGGACGTTATGGACAACAATACTAAATTCCACAACAATAACAACAATTCAACGAAAATTAAAAAAAAAAAAAAACGATTTAAGAAGAAAAAAACGAAAACATTTGATATGGCAAATTTTTTTCTTAAAATTTAAAATTAAATTCTATAAAAAGAGACTTTTTTACTAATTAAAAAAAAACATAATTTTAAAACATAAAAAAATTTAATATTTAGTAAAGAAAAACATACGCTAGTAAAGTAATAGTAAAATAATTTAAACAAAATATTTAGATTTTTTTGTTAAAGAAAAAAAAATCACCACAAAAACTATTGCAAATTTTCTATAACAATGCCTGCTTTTAAAAGCAATTTCATAAGATAATAAAAAAAAGTATAACAATTTATGTTAAAACAAAACTTGACCGTTTAACTATTTAAAAATGAACTCTAACATAAATTTGTTAAAACTTTTTTTATACAAAAAAATTGCTTTTTTAAAACCGGGCATTGTGTTCTTAAAAAACATAATTTAATAAAAAATCAAACACTTAACGCAGGTATTATATAAAAATTAGTTTAAACATAATTTTTTATACTTCCTTTTTTTTAATTTTAAATATTTATTTTATTTATTTATATTTTTTATACTTTTTTTAATTATAATTTATTTATTTATTCTATCATTTCCATGTGGCCACTAATCATATAAAAAACGCTTATAAAAAGATGTTGTTTTTTCCCTCCCTCTAAGGGAAAAATTATATAAATAAAATGTTAAATTTTTAAAAATAATTTTGTATCAAAATATTTTATAGAATTATACATTTTATTATAGTCTTTAATGTCTTTTTATATTGCTAAATCTATTACTTTAAAGTCTATTTATTTTAAATTCTATTGTAGTTTAATTTTTAGTTTGTAATTAAAAAAGAAAAAAACATTTTTATATAAAACAAAAAGAAAACAAAATAATGTAATAATTTTGTACTGCAAGACCGAAAGCAAAAGGTGCTTTAAAACAATTTAGTTTGTAGTTTTATATTACTTTTTTATTTAAACAAAAAAAGAAAGAAATCTTTAAAAAGTAAATTGAATAAAAAGTAGTAAAAAATGCATTAATTATAAAATAATATAAATTATTTACTTAAAGTAATTTAATATTAATTATAATTATAAAATTAAAATGAAAATATAGAAACTCTCCTTTTTTTATACGCAATGTACTGATTAAGTAATAAAAACTAAATTTTTATAATAAATAATTAAAAAAAAAAATTCAAATGCATTTTAACTTAATTTTTAATGGTTGGTTGGACAAGCGTAAAACTATTACATCAGGTCGTAAATACAAGCCTCCAAAAATAATAAACTTTAACATTTAAAAGAGCGTTTTAAAAGAACTTTCCAATTGTAGATCGCCCGGCCGAACGCTGTCTGTTTAGGAAACCTTTACTAAGCGAAGCTATTGTTAGACATACCATACAGTAAAAAAACCTTAGTATTTAGGAAACATTTATTAAACGAATCTGTTGTTGGACATACCATAGAGTAGAAAGTCTTGGCCCGGCCTTAGGAAATCTTTATAATGTTATTTAACTATCGGAGACTGTCATGAAGAGGCCCAGTAAGAGCCAATAGCGATGCTGGCGGTAGGGCCTCCCATGCTACTAAGGTTGAGGGATAGCATCGAAGCCAAGAACAGTCCACAACGTAACGTCGGTACTTCAGTGGAGCGGCTATAAATGGCGTCTGTTTCCCCATGTTAGGGGCGGCCAAATCTCGAGGGATAGCATCGAAGGCAAGAACAGTCCACAACGTAACGTCGGTACTTCAGTGGAGCGGCTATAAATGGCGTCTGTTTCCCCATGTTAGGGGCGGCCAAATCTCGAGATGCTGTGCCTGTTCATCACATATAGCAGACTTATCGAACAGGCTTTGGACCTTAGGCCAACGACCCGTAAAACCTATGAGTGATACAAAGTACTACCGAAGGGGAAACAAAGACTATCATGTGTGACATGAATGCCAAAGAAGGTTGTAGCAATGTAGATTTTGAGCATATCATATCACTCACGGAGTTGACACCGTGAACGAAAATGGCGAACTGTTAATGATTTTGGCGGGGGCAATAACCTTATTATTGGTGGTACGCTATGTGGTACATAAAATCGAGCATAAATTTACTTGGATATCGCGGGATGGGTATAAGAAAAACCAAATAGACCATTTCAACATGAGTCGCATGTGAAGACGAATAATAATGGATGTAGGAAACAAACGTAGTGCAGACATTTCATCTGACCATCACCTTCTGATTGCGGAGCTTCCTGTGTTCGAAATTTTACTATTGGTCAACTCAAGAACCCTCAAAAGGCACAGCAATTTTACTTAACCTTGGGATATGGAACACGTTTCCTCTCTCTGGACACTTCACTAGACTGCTAGTGGTCCCAAATCAAGAGTAATTTTATTTCTGCAAAATGAGAAAAACCTATAAAAATAGATTTCTGATAAAATGATGATTGAAATTTGATGAGAGAATAGCAAATAATGCCATTAATAATTCCAAAACCCGTAGTGATGTAATTAGGTCCCAACAAACATACAGAACCGTTAATACCAGCGTAGAGCGAATGTGAAGAAAGGTTGTACGAAGATGCTACGAATTAATCAGAAATAGCTACAAATCGAAACTACTATATGACGTCGCATGGTAAACGTAAAATATGGCAGTATCTCCTGACTGATCCCAAGGAGCAGCCTGAACGTTGAACCGAACATTTCACAGAAGTATTTAGCCCTCCTATTACTGCCGTAATCACTCCTGTTATTCCCAGCTTTCAGGAAATAGAAACGGCTGCTCAAGGTTAATCCTCACATAAGTGCACCGGCTCTTCATTCCTTATTTAAAGCCATATGGGAAACTGAAAAATCTTCAAAGGAATTGATGCAGGGAACTCTGGTTAAAAAAGCATATTAAGAATATGTCAAATAACCAAACTTTTAAAATCGATATCTTCAATTTGGATGAAATTTTCACCACCGTTAGTACTATTGGATAGTAGGCCAGAAACAGACACACTTAAAGCTATCTGAAGAAACAGCTATCTAAACTCCTTTGGACAATATTTGCTATATATATTAAAAATAAGATTTAGAACCACCACACCAATATCGTATTATTAAGTACAATAGAAAGCAATAACTTAAAAAAAGACAAACTGAAACAAGTCCTATAAGATCAAAACTAATATAATCATGGCCACAATTCATATGTGGCCTCCGGTTGGTTAGTGTCTGTTAGACCGAAGGTGGTTGTTTCTATTTCCACCTGAGGCACTGGTTAAGGAGCCCACAACAGGCCCGATAGAGGCCTAGGTGTATTTCTTCGGATTTGATGTATATACATCCTCCTTTCAAACCAACTAATTAACTAATGATAATAATGACATTTTAGTTTTACTATTTTAATCATTATTATATAGTTTTGAAAATTTGAATAGTGGGCGTGGTCAATACATAATAAAATTTGGTTTTAAACAGTGGTCAAGAGGAAATTCTTTAAACACGTAAATAAAAATCAGCAAATAAGGCTTGGATTTTTATCCAGTTTAATGGGCTAAAATTTACTCTATCGATATGGGCGCTAGAAGAATCAGAGAATCTCCTAAAATCTCATAAATTTTTTTTTATAATAGTCTTACATAATCTTAATCATGTCACCATCCTATAAAAGATAGGCAGGCCTATCATGGGGCAGGAAACAGATTACATTCTATCTACACTGAATTTTAATAGGTCATTCAAGACCAAAATACCGACAAGGGATGATTGGGCCGCGAATACTGTCCTAAGGGACGACATGATCTCAATCTACACAGATGGCTCAAAGACTGAAAGGGGTACGGGATCGGGAATCTTCTCCGATGATCTAAATCTTCTACTGTCTCTTCGACTACCTGACACCTGCACGGTCCTTCAGGCAGAGATATATGCCATCTATACTGCCGCGAGAAGAATCCGGGAACTAAATCTCGAAAATTCGACTATACATATATACTTGGACAGCCTTGCATCAATCAAGGCTCTTAACTCCAATGTCATTAAGTCGGAATGTCTTCTGAATTGTATTCAATCGTTGGCACAACTGATACAACATCACGTTGAGTTGATATGGGTTCCAGGACCTGAGGGCATCCGGGGAAATGAAATATATGATGAATGTGCACCCAAAGGTCGTCCCTGGACTTAACCCTTGCGCAAAAGGATATTCATGCTCCCCTGACGACCCTATCAAAACTGATAGATGAATGGGCTCTGAGTGAGACGGAACTCAGGTGGTCAAATATCACCACTTGTAGAATATCGAGACTGCTCTGGCCCACTCTGACAACAGATAAGACTAGGACTCTCTTATCTCTTGATAAGAACTCGATTAGGCTTCTAACTGGTATAATTACTGGGCAATGTATAATTGGACATATGTCAGAACGTATGGGCTACCAAAATCATAGCTACTGTAGAAGCTGCTTAGACGAAGAGGAAGTGGAATCGGTACAACACCTTCTATGTGACTGTCCAGCACAGACTACTCTATCTGGGTAGAGCTTTTTTCCATGATCTAGACTGTCTCAGAGATGCGTCACTGATAAACATGATCGGTTTTATTAAAAGCACCGGCTGGTTTACATGGAGACCGAACGAACCAAGTAGTCAACGAAATTAGGAAGGGTAACCATTCTCTCATCGCTAGGGAATGGTAATTCTAAGGGTATCACAATGGGCCACAATGCCCCCGAGTGAACTCGCTTGCTAGCGAGCAATCCACGTAACCTAACCTACATAATCTTAATTGTTTTCACTTTATGTTTCGGAAATTGCGCTTCCTATCTTAACTCAAACAATATAATGCATTTATATGCTTCACACCGGGAAACGATTGTACAATTAATAAATCGTCTTTAATTGAAACGGAAGATCTTTAGATAAGAAATCGTTCTCTCTTCCCTTCTTTTAAGATGAGTCCCCAGCAAAAACTTACATTGAAAAGTAAGGGATTAAAATGATAAAATTTACTTACAAAATAGCATTTTA